TTTTTTTTGTTAATTCAGGTATTTTATTTATATCACCAAATTTATACAATTATTATTTATTAGTAATTTTTCATATACAATATGTATGACCACACAATTAATATTTTTTAATCCTTTTAGAAGAAAACCACAAAACATAAATGCAAAAAACTCAAGAAACAAATATAATGAACACATTATTTTATTTTTCATAACATTATTATTGATAAATTTTTTTAATTTTAGCTGTAACTCATTATCAAATGATTCTACTGTATACATATATATTTGTAACGCAAAATTTCGTATTATTAAATTAATAAACACGAGAAATTCGTACAAATGAATTTTCAACGGATCAAAAGAAATATAGTGGATTACAAATCTCTACTATTCCTATGATTAATTTCTTCAAAAACGATCTTCAAATAGACTTGAGATTTTTGGAGACTAATCTTCAGTTTGATCTCCGTCAGTCTTGAATATGGATTTAAATAACGTTTCTTCGAGGGCTTGATAGCTTGATCTCGAATCGAACGTCGTGATTTCCCAAGAACGTGAAGAACACGAATCCTTGGTCTTCGCCGCAAAGTTGATTTTGATCTTCTCTATGCCGGTCTTGACTTGAATAACGTAATTCGGAGGCTTGACAGCTTGTTTCCGGATTAAACGTCGGTTTTTGGCTTGAATGCACTTGAATCTTCCTTCGGGTCTTCAAGAACGCCTTTGAATCTTAAAAACACTTGAACTTTAACAACGCAATTCGGAGGCTTGGCAGCTTGTTTCCGGATTGAACGTCGGTTTTGGGCTTGAACGTGCTTGAATCTTCCTTCGAATCTTCAAGAAAGCCTTTGGATCTTCAAGAACACTTGAATTTTGAGGAGAGAATTCTCTAGAGCTCTTGAACTTTGAACTTGAATATGAATTGTGATTTTTCACCTTAGGGAGGGTCCTTATTTATAGGTGTTGGGAGAGAGAGTCTTGGAAAAGAAGACTTCAATTTGATTGGTCCATAATTTCCAATATTTATCTCTTAATAATTATTTAAAGAGATAATTAGGAGAGAGAGTCTTGGAAAAGAAGACTTCAATTTGATTGGTTCATGAATTTCCACTTAATTATCTCTTTAATAATTATTAAAAGAGATAATTATTTATTTTACTCTCCAAGAAAATGACATCGCGTTTCAAATCAAGTGAAGTCCACTCAAGCTGAGCTAAAACGAGTCATGGAAGAGCTTGAGCAGTTGAAGACGAGGGCAGAAACATTATCCCAGACATTGAAGCAGCAACAAGAGTCACTCGATAGTGCCAAGGCCAAGGTGAAATTAACTCAAGAGGAGATCCTTGTCATCAGCAATGCTCCACCGTTGGATGAAGAAGTGGCTGAACAGTTGAAGATGTTGAAGTCAAATTTGAAGGCGACTAAAGAGAAG